AGAACACTAAAAACAGAATAAAACTTCAAACATTAAAAACAAAAGTGTGAGATCAGAAAACAAGAGTCTTCCAGATTGGTGCTCTGGTGCGAGCCAGCTGACTCATGCCAGAGTACCGGGACAAAAAGCAGGACATTCCAGGTTCCAATCAGAAGCCAGAATTGGCTTCTGTAATTCTGGGGTGTCCTCCTTAAATCAGGACTGTTGAGTGGTGTGCTCATCTTGGGTTACTGGTGGGCTGGTCCTGAGGCCAAGTGAGGTCACCTAGAGTGCTGTGTCCAGTTCTGGGTAAAGGTAAAGGGACCCCTGACCATTAGGTCCAGTCGCGGATGACTCTGGGGTTGCGGCGCTCATCTCACTTTATTGGCCGAGGGAGCTGGCATACATGTGGCCAGCATGACTAAGCCGCTTCTGGTGAACCAGAGCAGTGCAAGGAAACGCTGTTTACCTTCCTGCCGGAGCGGTACCTGTTTATTTACTTGCACTTTGACGTGCTTTCGAACTGCTGGGTTGGCAGGAGAAGGGACCGAGCAACAGGAGCTCACCCCATGGTGAGGATTCGAACCGCCAACCTTCTGATCGGCAAATCCTAGGCTCTGTGGTTTAACCCACAGTGCCACCCGCATCCCAGTTCTGGGTACCATGGTTCAATAAGGATATTGACAAGCTGCAAGGTGTGCGCAGGAAGGCAACCAAGATGATGCCTGGAAACCAAGCATGGTTGGGAGAGCTCGGGATGTTTAGCCTACAGAAGACAAGGTTGGGAGGTGCACAAGAGCCTTCTTCACATATCTGAAGGGCTGTCACCTGAGCTATGGAGGAAGCTCGTTTTCTGATGCTCTGGAGGGGAGGACCTGAACCAGTGCAAGAAAGGAGATTCCAACTAAGCATTAGGAAGAACTTTCGGAGAATAATTGTGGAACGGACTCCCTCGGAAGCTGGTAGTCTCTCCTTCATTGGAGGTTTTTAAATGGAGGATGGGTCATCATCTCTCAGGGATTCTTTCGTTGCAATTCCTGCCTTGGCTTGTCCCTTCCAATTCTACAATTCTATAAATCTGTGAGGCAGCCACTTCATGCAGCCACAAGGAGGCAGCAAATCTTTGGTTATTTCCTTCATGGCTTTCTGTTTGCTTCCAGGGGAGGCATTTGTGTCTGGGGTGACAGGTGGGGGTGTGTGTGCTCTGCCTCAGGTGCCAAAATAATGTGACCAGCATCAGGTATTCTGCACCTGATGAAGCAACCTTTCTTAACCTTGGGTTCCCCAGATGTTGTTGAACTACAACTCCCTTCATTCCTAGCTAGCATGGCCTGTGGTCAGGGATGATGGGAGTTGTAGTTCAAAAAATCTAAGGTTGAGAAAGTGAAGACCGGCAGCTGGGATGGCTTTAAAAACAATAAAAAAAACCCATTATTACTATTTTTTTAAATGTACAAAACAATATGCTACAATAAAAAAGAAGAGCAGGGGGGAAATCAGAGAGAGAGACAGAGAAAAGAGCAACTGATAAATTACATTTAGCCTAGTAAATAAGGTCTCCCCATGTCCATATGGGGAGCTTATCCACACATGTTTTGCCCCACACTTTCTAGGCACAGGTCCATGTTTTAAAATTTTTATTTATTGATACTTATTTAAAGATACACAAGAATGCATACCCATTGCAAACTATCCTTTCATAATATGCTGAGATAAAACAGCTACTTGGTTATTACTGTTTTGAATTCTCATTGCAGTTACGAATTTCATGGTGCTATTATCTTCCTGAGTGGGCCGTTCAAACCACTATTCTGAGCTTTTTATAGGGGGGAAGAGCTTATGGAATCAAGGGGGTAGTGGCCCACCCAAAAACATGGGAGCCACTGATTTAGATGGTGGTCCTGAGCCCATACCAACTAGGGTGGCTTTCAAAGAGGATTAGACGAGAAGAGCTACCAAAGGCTAACAATAATATACCTCTTAAGACCAGGTACTGGGGAACAGAATTAGGCAAGTGCTATTGCACGCAAGTTCTGCTTGTGAGTTTCCCTTTGGGGCATTTGGTCAGACTCTAGGAAGACTAGATGGGCCCTCTTTGGCCTGGTCTAGCTGCTGCAGGGCTCTCCTAAAGTTGCTATGTTTCCTAAATGCAGTCTCCATGGACAGAGTCAGTCTAGCTTAGAATGGTGGAGAACAAGGTTGGGAGAAGGTTTTGACCCTCACAGCCTGCTTGTGGGCTCCCCTTTGGGGCATCTGGGGCATCTGGTTGGCTGCTGGGAGAACAGGCTGCCGGGCTCCTCCTATGGGGCAGACCTGGGTGTGAGTGACATTTGCTGCCTGCCCAAGAATTGGCTTTCATGTCCATCAGTCAGATAGCCCTGAAGGCTTTTCTGGTAGCAACACACCTTGGATTTGGACCTGAGATTGCAAGGCCACCTATGAACCTCTCCCCAACCTGGTGATTGCAGGATTGCTACTTCCATCAACACGTCTGCTGGGGCTGATGGGAGTTGGAGTCCAAAAGATCTGAATGACACCAACAGGTTGAGGGAGACTTTTTCCAGGAACCCTCCCCCTGCCACCCCTGTTTGGACCCTCCCCCTGTTGTTGTTGCTGCCACCCCTTTTGGACCCTCCAGCCCACTCCACGTTGAGATTCCCAGAGAAGAGACAATCTCCGCAAGAGACAGAGATAAAACCAAATTGCATCTTTATTTTGGGAAGGCAGCAGGAGAGCTGAGGAATTCCCGACTTGCAGACATGCATTAATAAATAGTGAGGATAGCTTATAATAACACAGTATAAATACTTTTTCATGAAATTCATATACTGCTTGATTGTGGTTTTTTTAAACAAACAAACCTCAAAGCGGTTCATAAAACAATGAAATAAATTATATTTTTTTAAAAAAACCTCACGGTATAAATAGGAAACACACTATACTTAAATCTCACAAAGACCTTGAGAAGTACTTAAATATATAAATAAACACATACAAACAGGTATGGAAATGGATTCACAAAAGTGGGAGCATGAACATGCAGAGACCTCTAGTTTGCAACACAACACACACACACCCAAGCAAAAACCTGCTCCAAATTTCATTTTAGTTAAGCTTATACCACTTTTACTGTTGTGGCTTCCCCCAAGGAATTCTGGGAATGAGAGCTTTGTGCTTTGCTGAGAATTCTATGGACCAATCTGCATCTCTCCAGGAAGGACAGTGATCCTGAAAGCACTTTGGATATTTTGGAAGCTCAAGATCATACCCTGTATTCTATCAGCCACATAATATATGTTCCCAAATCTATCTATCTATCTATCTATCTATCTATCTATCTATCTATCTATAGCATGAATTTGGTCCTAAAATATGGTCCTAAAATTTTAGGGTGGCAGGGGGAGGGATAGTGTTTGTTTTCCTTCACCATCTTCACCATCTTTCAGAATCAAACTTTGCGTCCACAGACCAGTTTTTTGAAACTGATCAGCAAAAGGCTGACCACCAAGACTGAATTTGAACATTCAGAATCCACCTGTGTGTGTGTAAATTTCCTCATGACTGCAAATATTGTGGCCTAGTAATGAACCTGACCAGAAAGCCACAGAGTTATTTCCAAAGGCTCTTCAAAAGACGGAGACTTGTATCAAGGAAGAGGATTCCTTTGCTGTGATTCCTGCATTGCAGGGGTCGGACCAGATAACCCATGGAGTCCCTTCCAAGCCTACCATCCTGCGATTCTGTGATTTACTCAAGAAAGGGCATCTTCTCATCCTCTGACCACTTCTCGCTGAGAAAGCCCTTCTCCGGAAATGGATGGCTTGATGAGAGCGGTGGCCCTGAGGGACCTCAACCTGGGTGGCGATGGTGGGTCCCTTGGGTGGGTGGGAATCAGAGAAACAGCAGGAGCACAGGTGGAATGAGGCTGTGGCTCAAAGATAGCTCTTCCTAGAAGGAGATCTGCAGCTGGCACCAGAAGGATAGAGGCAGGGATGCAGGTGGTTGATGGAAAGGTGGGTTGTTCTCACTCTGGTGTAAGGGATGCCATAAGTTTTTTCGCCCACTCGGCCTTGGGGTCAGCACAGCCCGATTTACCATTCCTGAATACAAACCTGTCAAGGAAAGAAGCAAGTGTTTACAGAGTCCCTCTCTATTGCACTTGGCTCTCTCCATTGTGAGATGCTCCTGCGTTTTATAACAACATCAGAAGAACCTGCTGGGTCTGGCCCAAGGGGGCCCATCTAGTCTGGCATCCTGTTCTCACAGTGGTCAAGCAGATGCCCCCAATGGGAAACCCACAAACAGGGTCCGTGCGCAAAAGCCTTTTCCCCTACTGGGGTTCAGAAGCACTGCTGCCTCTGGAGAGGGACAGCATAGCCATTGTGGCTAGGAGCCATCGTTAGCCATGAATTTGTGCCTTTCAAAGAGCCATCCAAGTTGGTGGCCATTTAGAGAGATGGGAGCTTGCCTCACACTTTAGGAGGTGACCGCAGGATCATGTTTGCCATGGATTGTGCCCTTGATTGGCAGGGAGGCAGAACCGCAACCAGCCACACCTGTCACAGGTGAGACTTCTCTGGTTTGCTCCCATCCTGTAGTGTAAATTAAAAGTTTCCTGTTCACACGCTCTACCCATTTCTTGCTTTTTATTAATTCCGGGTGTGGGATTACTGATGAATTGCTCCTCAATTGCCCCAATGTTGGTTGAGGGGCATTAATGACTAATTTCATGGCATTTCTTTCTTTTCTTTTGCATTTCAATTTTTTTTTACAGCTAATGGCCACTATTGAAATGAAGGGGGTGACAAAATCAGTAATTAAGGCCAGACAAAATGGACATTGGAGCAATTCAGAGAGGCTACTCAGTCCCCAAGCCACCATCGACAAGGAGAAGGGGTAGGGTGTGCAATCAGGACCCTTTTAACTAAAGGTACAGGAGCCCCCAAAAGCTTAAAGAAAGCTTTGTCTGTTCACCTACGGCATACATTTTAGTGCAAAATAAAAATGCAGCAAATCAAGGGCCCTGGCTCAGAGGTAGACCATTTGCCTTGCATGCAGAAGGTCCTAGGTTCAGGTCCCAGGGGCAGGGCTGAGCGGGAGATGCTCTCTGACTGAAAACTTGGGCAGCTGCTGCCAGTCAGTGTAGGCAATACTGAGCTAGATGAGCCAATGGTCTGACTTGGTATAAGGCAGCCTCCTGGGTTCAAAAGTGGGCCGCACAGAAATGCCCTCTTGGGCATCGGATCACTTGGCATCTGCCCAGTCCCGAAACTTACACTACGGCAGGACGGTTGCAGTGCGAACTGGTGCGGAAAAAGCTCTTCACGATGCTCCTTGGGAACGGTTTGGGGTTGTATCTGGGGCAGCAGGGAGACGCGTCCATACCACCTGGAAGTTGCAAAAGGCAGGTGTCAGTTTTAACCATATCATCATAAGCTGCAGTGTAGTGAATAGAGTGTCAGAGTAGAACCTGGGAGAGACCAGGGTTGAAATCCCCACTCAGCCATGTATGTCAATGGGTGACATTGAGGGCCAGTTTACTGCCTCTCCATCTAACCTACCTTACAGGGTTGTTTGTTGTTGGGTGTAGGACCTGGGAGCTCAGGGTTCAGATCCCCCCAGGTCCAATGCACGCCACCTCGAGCTCTTTGGAGAAAGAGGATGGGATATAAATGCAATAAATAAATAAGTATGGCTGGCCTTTTTCACCCTGGAGGCTCTTGAAGAAGTGAATTTCACCAACTGAGCTAGTACCCATTCCTATCCATCATGCCACTCTCAGATGGAATCTGACTCCTTTTTGGAACACAGGAGTGTCCAACATTGTGCCACCCATAGAATCATAGAATTATAGGGGTGGGAGGGACCCAAAGGATCATCTAGTCCAACCCCTTGCTATGCAGTTGTTGCTGGGTTATAGTTCCCACCAGTTGAAGCCAGGGGGGTTGGTGCTGTGAGGGATGATGGGGCTTGTAGTCCAACAATATCTGGAAGACATTGTCTTTGCTGCCCGTGATTTACAACACTCCTTGTCTGTGGATTCTAGGCAGATCAAAGTCCCAGAATAGCTTTATGAACTCTCAAAGGTTCATAATTCTTCTACGGATGATTGCCATTTTGCACCAAATTGCATTGGCCACTCCACAGGAGATCCAGAAGGTGGCAAAACAGGAGAACAGGACCTTTTCTGTGGCAGCTCCCCATTTGTGGGGTGCTCTTCCTGGGGAGGCTTGCCTGCCAATATAGTTACATAACTTTAGCCACCAGGCAAACACATCCCTGTTTAATCAGGCTTTTGGTTTTTAGCTATCTATGGCTTTTTTGTGGGGGTAGGATGTTTAAAACCTGCCTTTTAAAAATCTGAATGTATTTTAGATTATTTTTGTTTGTTTGTTTCATGCTGGTTTTAACGCATGTTTTATTCATTCATTGCTGTAAGTTATTTTTAGGTTGTTGTTTTTTTAAGTGACTAAGTTTATGCCCCTCTCCATTTTGTTTTATGCTGGTTTGAATGGATGTGCAGTGTATGCCTTGTTGCAAGTCACTTTGAGTTCCTTTTGTAAAAATTAAAGGGACTAATAAGTTTAATTAAGTAATAACAATGACAACAACCCCCTGCCAAATGATATCCCTCATTTCAAAGTTTATCACCCATGATTCTCCCCCTATTTTTAAAAGGGTTTCTGTCCCTCATTTTAAAGTTCTGAGTTCGAGATATACAAGCAGAAGAGGTTTGACTCACGTTGGGCAGCGACTGTCAGAGACAAGGAGACAAGGAGGAGGAGGAGGAAGGTGAGGCCAGCTACGGAGACCTTCATGTCTTCTGGAGATGCTGAGTGGAGCTGAGGATTGTCTCTCAAAGTCTCTCTGTGCTTCTTCGCTGCTCTCTACCTTCCTGTCCTCCAAGTCTCTCTTTATATAGGGTTCTGGACGCTGTCACAGTGGAAAGAGTGAGTGTCCGTGTCGTCCGTGGAGGTGGAAACACCAGAGTTTCATCCTCCTGAGTTGGTCATGGGGCAACTGATTCTGCCGCTAGCAGAAAAAGGAAGTTACGTGAGAAGGGTTGAGGAAATCATTGGACGCAAGAGGAAGCAGAAGAAGGTGATAAATCGTTACCGCATGCGCTCAGTAGGTGAGGGGAGCAACGCTGCCCTAAAAGGCCTGGAGCCGGGGACATCACACGGCACCTGCCAGGGTCACCTCTGCTGGGCTTTCCCCAAAAGAGGATTAAAGAGCCCTTTTTCTGATGCAGCTCTGACTCCTAAACATCTACTCACATTTCTGCATAAATGGACACCTCAGAAGTTTCGGAAAGATCAGGAAAGTCCTAGAAAAACCAGGTATATGGGGCTGATGGACCTAGATGTGGCAACCAGAGACTGATTCAGATCAGGCAACAGTACTCAGGTCCTGCTTATGAGCTTCCCAGATGAATCAGAGAATTGTGGAGCTGGAAGGGACCCCAAGGGCCACACCCCTGCAATGCAGGGATCACAGCAAAGCCCCCCCCCAAACCTCTGCTCAAAAATCTCCAATGAAGGGGAGTCCACCATTTTCCCAGGGAGTCTGTTGCACTGTCAAACTTCTCTTACAATCAGAAAGTTTTTCCAAATGCTTAGTCAGAATCTCTTTTCTTGCAGAAGAAGAGGCTTCTGATCAGCTACTGTGAGGAAAGGAGGCTGTTGGAGGGCTCACTTTTCACCTGATCCAGTAGCCAAGAACACTTTTTAGAGCCACAAAAAGCCAACTCAGAACACCATTTCATAGTTTTTCAGGATTGCAGTTTTAATCCAAACGACCACCTCCCCATAGTGCTGGACCTCACGAGCCGCCTCCCCCCCCCCGCCCAACGCTTCTCCAGTGAAGTTCACAGATGAAGGAGAGGAGGAAGCTCTTGCCTTCATGCTGTGCTTGTGCAATAGAGGCATCTTGTAGCCACAGCTGGAATCCAGATGCTGGACCAGATTAATCTTTTGGCCACTGATCAAACCAGTCTTCAGTTCTCCCAAAGCATTTTCCTTCTGAGTGTTTGCTCTCATTACAAGAGGTGAGATTGGTTGAAGAATATAACAACCTCAAAATAGCCCTACCGGAGTAAGCCAGTGGCCCATCTGGTCCAGCATCATGTTTTGACAGTGGCAGACTAGATGCCCCAATGGGAAACCCACAAGACCTCAGCACAAGAGCATTCTCCCCTCCTGTCTTTAAAGCAACTGGTAATCAGAAGCATTGCTGTCTCCGGTTGTGGAGGCAGAGGACAACCACTATCGCTAGTAGCCATTCATAGCCTTATCCTCCAGAAATTTGCCTTATCCTTTTTTAAAGCCATCTAAGTTGGGTTGCAATACCTGCCACCTGCAGAAGCGAGCTCCATAGTTGAACTATGTGCTGGGTGGAGAAGTACTTCCATTTATCCTCCAAAACTGTCTAACATTCAGCATCATTGGGTGTCGACCTGCTGTGTTCTTATGAGAGACGAAGGGAAATGTCCCACCTTCCACTCTCTCCATGCTCTAGACCAGTCATTTATCCTCTTACATGCCCTTTCTCTAAAATAAAATGATTAGAACACTGAAACCCTTCTGCATACGGGAGACTGAAATATACTCGGAGTCCTGTAGTGATTTCATACTCTTTATTGCAGCTTGTAAAACAGTGATTGAATTGCCCCCCAAACCTCAGGCTTTTACTATACATTATTTACACAATGAGTCCTGTCTGATTGGCTGGTTCTGATTGGTCGTTTCCTGCAGGCCAATCAGTTGTGCATTCTACAATCCTACCAGCCTAATAGGCTGATTAACTTCTTCCTGGAGCCTGATTGGTCTTCTCCTGCAAGCCAATCAGTTGTTGCATTCTAGGATCCTACTTGCCTATTGTTCTAAGATCCAAGGTTAGTACATAACAGAGCCCCTCCATCCCCATGATCACTTTTGGTGCCCTTCTCTCTACCTTTTCCAACTCCACAATATCCTTTTGGAGGTGAGGAGACCAGAACTGCGCACAGCATTTCAACTGTGGTCGCACCATAGATTTGTAAAATAGAGTTATCATCTCTGCAGGTTTATTCTCGATTCTTTCCCCAATGATGCCTAGCATGGATTTTCTCTTTTCCACAGCTGCTACACTCTACGTCCACAGGTTCATGAAACTATGTCCTCTGAGCCCAAGGTCTCGCTTCTAGTCCTTCCCCTCCAGTTCACATTCCATGAGCATTTATGTGAAATGAATATTTTTTGCTCCAACATGCATCACTGTACACTTGTTTATACTGAATAGCACTTGCCTGCATCCCACACCCATTTTGCTTGTGGCAGATTGAAGAAGGGGTGGGTGCTGATCCGTGGCTATGCTGTTCAAGGTATCCATGGAGGCAAGAGGAAATAAATGATTCATGCCAACTTCCAGCTGAGTCAAGCCTTGGCAAGAGGGCCATCACAGGACACAAAGTGGATCCCTCTCCCCAGAGAGTCTCAAGGGATTACTATTTCAAGTGCCAGAGAGCAAGGAAACCACCAAGAACTTTTGACTGATGCAAGATCCCTTTTTCATGGGTCACAGCCGGCTTCCCCCTCTCCTCTGCCCCTGCCATGGTTTGTGTCATGTGACTAAATATATCCCCAGAGGAAATCTAAGACGCCACCATGACAAAGCAATTTCATTGAAGTGGCTTTGGTTCCTGGCCCTGCAGAACCAGACAATGGTCCTCAAAAGCCAAGGAAGGAGAAGAATGGAAAAAGGAGAACCGAGTAGGCCCTTTTCAGTTTTCTCTTCCCTTTTGCCCTGGGTGCGTCTGAGAAGCAGGTACATTTTGCTTTGGAGAAGACCAAGGGCACAAGGCAGCTTCAGGAAGAACATAAGAAGAGCCTGATGGATCTGGTCAGTGGCCCATCTAGTCCAGCATCCTGCTCACACCGTGGCCAGCCAGATGCCCATCATGAGAATTCAACAAGGAACATCCAAGCACAGGAACATCCAAGCACAATTCTGAATCATAGAATTGTGGAGTTGTAAGAGACCCCAAGGGGTCTTCTGGCCCAACCCCCTGCTGTCAGGGAACTGCCATCGGACGGAAGGGAGGTGAAAGGG